CCTATGGGTACAGTGGTTGCTGAGAATACACACAGGTCTCCTGTGATAGAGATTCAAGGCCCATTCAGGGATGGACAAGGGCTTTAGCAGTACAGGCAAGAGGAGACAAAAAGGGCAGCCACAGACCCGTACTGATAAAAACCATTCACAATGGCTTACTGAATGAAGCACAAGCAAGTAACCAAGGCCAGATCTACCATGAGGCAAGGTGGGATGTCTGCCTCAGGCAGCAGATTATAGGTGTGACAGGAGGTCTCCTGCCCAAACAACTTTGATACTGGGCAGCTTGATTTGGGGCAGGCTAGAGGTGCCATTTCTTGCTCTGCCTTGGGCAGCTAAATTTCTTAGGCCAGCTTTGGGACTCACACAAAATGTCCAGATGTCAACAGCTGTTGTACGTGCAGCTTCCTAAATCCAAATGCCCACTAGGTATTTGTTTGTTTATTTAATTTATATTCCGCCTTTCTCCTGGTAGGACTTTGTAGAGGGGTGAACAGATGAAAGGAGCCAGTGTGATGTACTAGTTTGAATGTCGGACTAGGACACTGAGAAACCAGGATTTAGATCTCCATTTGACCATGGAAACCCACTGGGTGAGTTTCGGCAAGTCATACTCTCTCAGCCTCAGAGAAAGGCAATAGCAAATGCCCTCTGAGCAAATTCTGCCAAGAAAACCCCGTGACAGGCTCACCTTAGGGTTGCTGTAAGTCAGAGGTGACTTGAAAGTACACAACAACAGAACAGCTGAAACATTGTCTCTTTGGGCAAAGTCCCTTTGCCTCCCTGTATGAGCATTGAACCCGTATCCCAGGAAAGCTATCCTGTTCTAAAGGGCCATCCAGACGTTGATCTTTTAGCATGACAATGCAACCACACATTCTGGGTTTGTTATTCACACTCTGGAATCCCGTTGATATGCATCTCTGTGAGTTTGGTTGAATAAAGATGGAGTCAACAATGCGAATGCATTCTGAACCCATTTTTGGGTATGCAGCATTTTATCCTGTGTCTATTCGCATCAGTTATTCACAGTACCGATGATGCGGATCTTTTTAAAAACTCAGGGAAACCCCCAATATCGATTATCCCAGATGAAATTATTTTTTTTGGCAGCCCCCCCCC